GAGATCGTGACCTGGCTGAAGTCGGACGCTTAACCGACTGCGCCACCCAGGCGCCCCTCTTTTTGTCTTTTAAAGTTAAAAAAATGTTTATTTATATGAGAGAGAGAGAGAGAGATTGCAAGTGGGAGAGCAGCAGAGAGAGTCCCAAGCAGGCTCCACGCAGCCAGCTCAGAGCCCAACACGGGGCTTGATCCCACAGACTGTGGCATCGTGACCCAAGCCGAGATCAAGAGTCGCACGCTTAACTGACTGAGCCACCCAGGCGCTCTGGCTCATGGCCTTTCTTAGCATCACTCCGGCTACCTGCAACTCCGGTTGCTTTCTTCAGGGCAAAGCTGAGAAGGAGCGCTTAGAGAAGGGGCTTGGGGCACGTAGAGTCAGGCAAAGTGACCAAGAGTAAGAGTTGTGGAGGCGACCTCACAGGTTCTAGTCCCAATCCTGCTGTATACTCGCTGGGGAACCTCGAATAACTGCTGGAACCATCTGGCCTTTGACATGCATCAAATAGAGCTAAGAGTATCACCTTCATACGGTCGTCAGGAGCCGTAAACATAAGGTAGTGCATGCTTAATCAGCAAACGGCCATAGTTAAGGGCTCAATGAATATTGCCATTCTTATTATTTGAAGGCTTGGCTGGTCCCACCCAAGTGTCCTGGACTGTCCTACCAATGGCTTTGGCCTTGGTTGGCTTCCCTAAGGGACCCACGTAGCTGTCTTGAGACTGACATTCAGCCTGGTCTCTGCCAATGTACTTCTCAGTCCATCTTTGAGGACACTGGGGGGGGGAAGGGGGGGGAAGATTGCCCAACTGGAAGTGCCTTTCTTTCTTGAAGCTGAGGGGATTCATTCAAGGAGTGTATCATTTCCAAAAACGTCAGCAGTTCTAAGCTTGGAGGTTTTTCATCACGTGAGAAATGACTATGAAATAACGGGCCCATTTCCATGTGTGACTTCCGGGAGCAGCCTTCAGGACCGCGCGCCAATACCTTGGAAGGTAATGGTGAATGCTCGGCGGTTCTGCCCGTGGTTTCCTCGTTCAGAGAACTTGCTGCGGTGGGTAGAGCTTGAGCAGCCCGACTCCACCCTCCGGCTTGCTTACAACCTGACATTCACTGAGAAGAAAGGAAAATTGAGAAGGTGGGGTAGAAGCGGGGAGGTGAAGGGAAGTTAAAAGCTTGGGGTGCCCAGGCCTGGAGGCTGGAATGCTCCCACCCAAACCCGTCTCAACAGGATGAGAGCTGCTCAATGCTTCAGCAGTTCCTTCAGACGATGACTATTTTTAGGGGGCTTCAGGTTGAAGAACGCATCGGTGACCGGACAGGGCAGGGGACAGCGGCCTCGGTCTCAGGCCTCCCCCACCACATTTCAAGGGCAATTATCCTCATGGCTTCAGGCCATACAGTGTGTTCCAATCCATGAAGTAACATTAACTGAATCCACAGAAGCCTCCTTTAAACAGTGCCGCGCGGGGCGGGCGGAGTGTCACAGGACAGAGCTCCCTGCGTGGGAACGCAGGCCTTTGTTAATGGAGTTCTTTTTTTGAAAAAAAAAAAAAAAATCAACACACCATTGCGTTGCTGCTTTCCATAAAACTTGGAAACAGCTGGATTAGTCCTGCGGGACTCTAATAAAACATTTATTATAAATAAGGTGCGTTTTTGGAAAATGTCACACGGAAGTCACTCAGGGGCAAGTACGGATTTACTCCTGTCATAAGAGTTTTCCTCAATTCTTAAGGGTCAGCAAACATGCTGAGGATTGTGGGGCGGGGGGGGGAATCCAACCCAGGACGATGCAGCGTCTGGTTTATTCTCTCAAAAGTTTCTTCAACACAGACAAAGGCTTCATCTCCCATTAGAAGTACAGACCCAAAGCTTTTGTGGGCTACAACTGGGTATATTTGTAGTTTCAGTTCTCCGACATCTTACCTAACAATGTACTGAGTCAAAGAGTTCGCCATTAATGAGAGGCGGGGGAGGGATGGGAGAGAGAGAGAGAAGGCAGGGGTGTTGGAGGAGGAGGAGGAGGAGGAGGAGGAGAAAGGCAGAGGAAGGGAGAGAGGGAGGGTGGCTGAGGGGGGAGGGAGGAAGGGAGAGAGAAACAACCGTGGCTCTTAACTATCTTCACTACTGATTTACCCAATGACCTTTAGCAAGTACATCTCAAAACGTAATGAAAATGTTTTTTAATGCCCCCAACGTCCCCCCGTGACACTACATAACCTGTATCACATTCATATGCTCACACGACTCCAAGCAGAATGAGTATCGTAAAGAGTGTGTATTTGAGTGATGCCCGAACTAAGCCTTTTGGACTTTGTGACTTTAGATAGGATCCATTTCCTTGGTGATTTTAAATGATGGTTTTGTCTTATTAGCCTGATGAAATCATGATTTTGGGGTAGAGTCCAAGGTCCCAGAGTTCTCTTTGGTCCCCCGTTTTGGACATGAATCATGGATCTGTGCTTCTAAACATTCAATTCCTCCTTCTCCCCCTCCGTCCCTTTCCCCCCACCATCTGTTTTGTTTAACGGATGAGATTTTTTAAATATAAGAGGAACATATGTAAGATTTTCTAAAACCCGCATGCCAAATTAAGAAATTACCACACTGACAGTCGTTAGCAGTTTTCATAATTTAATGAAAAAGTATTGGTAAAAAGGTGACATTTGAAAAAAGACTGAATTTGTCTTGGAAAACTGGACTATATAAGACAAAATGAAAAAAAATTAACAAAAGAAGGTTAAGAGGTAATACTTCAAACAACAGCAAAATGTAGCAAATACATTTTGGGGCAATTGAAATGTATACAACTGAAGGCTCCTTCATTTACTTAGGAAAATCTTGTAAAAATATTACAACTATATTTCCCTGACTGAAGTTATTTTAGTCAATACTCTCCCCATGGCATTACATACGGAATTTGGCTGAAGCACTTTTTCAATGTTTGCTTTTCCTTGCACTCACTCAGAACCAAAAGGCATGAAAGGACTCGGGCTACTGGCCTCGAGCGGAACAGAAGGCCCCTATGGCAGAGCTCGTTACCTCTTCCTTAGAGGGAAGGTGTCAAATTCACATCCACCCCAGCAGAGCTCAGAGGGAAAAGCACAGAAACCTAGTGCGTCCATAAGGAGGAACAGCCTTCCTCGTGTGGATGATTCTTAGCTGCTTCCACTCAAACAAAACACAGGACGCCTACCACACGTGCTCTGGCACGTTCACACGTGTACACAGGCATAAAAGAAACATTTTCAAGGTGTGGCCAAAAAGGAGGCAAAATACAGAAGTTTTCCAAAAGGGAGGAGAAAACACGAGCCACGGGACCCATTAACAAGGCTTTGAGAACAGAAGTGGGGACAGGAACGCCGCCGAGGCTCCCGCACCGGGGGAGGGGACAGAGGGGCCCTGGCCTGCCCTTGGGCCACTGGCGCGCCCACTGCAGCTGGGCTGTTTGCTTTACCAGGAACCAACTTTAAAGATCGAAAAATGGCCTCTTTTTGTCTGCAAATTCCCACTATGCTTTCCCAAACCAGAAGAAAGAGAATATTAATTTAAGGCTAAGAAGAGAGAGCAGAGAATTATAGTCGGCTTCACATTTTAAAAACTGTAACATGTTCCCCTTCTTTTAAATGGGAAGCAGACGTGTTTTATCCCCCCCCCCCCCCAAATGTAATTATTCTCTTCCTCCCACAAATTATTCAAGGCTGATTGTTTGGGAACAGGGTATAAGCAACTTCTGAAAAACGGCTCCAGACTTTTTGTGTGGGGAACTGCCTCGGATTCAAAGTTGGTACAAAGCTAAATTATATCCATGTGTTAAACACATGCTTTCAAATTCTGTTTGACAATAAAAATCTGTTTCAAAATTAAAGCAGGTAAGAATACTTAACCTCTGTGCATCTTACTATATTTTAATTATACCTCAATAGAAGCTTTATAAACATTAAAGCAGGTATACAAAAAACTGTCAGCCAAACTTACTTAAGTCAAACTGATTTGAAAACAAGAACACAAAACCCCTGACCTGGTACAAATCCTCCGGAATTGGTCTCACTTTGGGAAAGGCTCTGGGATCCCTCCCAAACGCCTAAGTGGAGAGAATCTGAGCATTTTCCTTGTACCTCTGTAAACACTATCCACAAGTTAGCCTCTCATGCTCGTTCGATGGGCCAAGTAGTTACAAGTGCGCCCCTGACCAGCAAGTCTAGGAACAGGCACTGGACACTTAAGAAGCATCAGGAGTATTGACTTGGTAGGTAAGATACTGCGAAAGGAGCTCAACCTTGTGCTGAGCCAAGGAAGAGGGTAGTGAATCTGACAGTATCTGAGATGTTGGTCCCTGGGCTCTCCCTGAAGCGGGTTTCCAGGTACCAATGGAGTTAGCAACTTCCTACAGACAGGAGCTGTGGGAGGTCACGTGCCGTAGCTTCAAAAGGGAAGTAGTTTTAGTGTCTGATAATCACGGTCTCTTGCAAATGCATTAACAATGCAAGGACTCTTAATACATATGTGCATCAACGTGGTAACAGGACTGGAGAGCTGTCCCAAAGTATTTACTGAGCAAGTACTCTGGGCCCAGCTGTTCTCAACAGCCTCTGGCAGAAAAGACTTCTGGACAATCTGTAATTCCTAGAATGTGCTTGCGAAAAGTAGACTTGAAACGGTTTCAAAAACTGCAAGTCAATTCGCTGTGAAACGTTTTATTCTTTCACTACAGTTCCTCCTAAAGTACACTAGAATCCTTTTGGTGTGGGGGTCTGCCCCAGTGTATGGGGCAAAGGCAAAGACTGAGCTATTCTTGGAGGTTTCCGATCACCTTTGCATTGAACTGTGGGAAAGGGGATGTGTCTTGCTTTTACCGTGGCAATCCCGTCGAGAGTCGTGGGCAGGATTTTCCCTGTCCGAGCTAACTCTCCTTACCCTGACTTTCTCTTTATTCCCATCACTCTCTGCTTCTGAATCGCTCAGCTCCAAATCTGGGCAATACCCATCGTTTTCCTGATACGGAGCTCTCCCTGCAGACCGCCTCACAAGCTGCTTGCCCCAGAGCTGCTCCTTGGGGCTGACGTTCTTGGTTGGCTTCACACAACACTGGAGGTCCTCCGTGGTCCTCACCCACCTGTTGGTGGCCTCCTTAAAGGACCTACTGAAGTGTTCCACGGTCGATTTTCTAAAGGCGCCCTGACTGGCCAAGTGGGAGCTGAGCATGGACTCCTGGTCACAGAACACCTCACTTGAGCTGTCTTTTTGGGTGACATCTTCAGACCAGCTGCCCTCTAGGCCGTTGGATTTGGCAAGCTTGGAGGTAGACTGACTCTTCCCATTCCCGATGGAAGACTGGCCATGCAGGGCAGCCTGGAGGACCAGAGGCTTTCCCAGTGACTGCCCGTGGTAGAACTCCGGGGATGGAGTTCTCCAAGCAGGACTGGGGTCCTTTGCTTCACTTCTAGAGTGGGTGAGACTGGCCAGCAGACGGTTACTCTTGCTCTCTAGTGGATGTCTTGGGTACGATTTCATTCTCACTTCTAGTGACTCCTGAGGCACCTGCATGCTCCTTATACTGGGAACAGGGGAGCTGCTGGCAGGAGAGAGGGGTCCATGATCAGGCTCTGTGGAGCTGTTTCTGCAGTCTTCCGGGGCTGATCTCGGCATTTTTAACTTTAAGGTAATTCTTGGAGGCGGGTAGAACAATGAGTTTTCTAGTGTACTTGTCAAAGGAAGTCCTGAGATCAAAAAGACAGACTCATTTTAACAACTGATTTAAATAACGGCGTATATGCTTATTACGGCACGGTGAGTTCACATACCCACTCTTCCAAATGTCTAACGGGACCCTGACTTTGATGTGTATGTGCGTCACGGGATAGGAGCCGGAGGGGCTGAACTAGAGGCTGGGTGGGGTGGGGGTGGCTACAGGTGGGAAACTCAGCGGAGCCACTGCTTGTCGTGTGGCTCTCGACCTCTTCACCTCTGCCCTCCCAGGCTGTACAATGATCACAAAGACTAGTGTGCCACCTCCTACATCCCCATCTCTGCCCCCTTCCACTTCTGAAAAGAATGTCACTAGCAGTGGTTTGGAACAGGGTCTCCCTATTGGGGTGTCTGCGTGTGTGCAGGTGCGGGTATTGCACAGGACTCAGGATGTGCCTGAAAAGACATGTCAGACCCTACCCTCCAATCTCTCCCACCCTTCCCCCAAAGTCAAATCCAAACCCTCAAGAACACAGCATAGGTTTTGGTGGACGAAGAGCACGTGAGTATGTGTTTTAACTTGGCAACAGTAGAAATGGTAGCGGGTGGTTCCTGTGTACTTTATGCCTGTAACCTCAAATAGTCTCCTCACTGTGAATGTCCATTATCGAGGGGTGGGTGGGGCAGGTTTTGCGGTGGCAAGGCCAGCAGAAAAGAATCATGACATTCCTCCTAGTGGCCTGCTTTGGGCTCGGCCTGTGGAGTACTGGCAGTCAGTTACCTGGTTCTGTCCTCCTATGATCACTTTTAGAACAGATCTTCCTTTCTCTATTAGTTTGGGTGCTCTGAAATTAAAGAAGTACTTCTAAATAATTCCTCTTTGCATAGGGACTTAACTTTTCCACGTGAGAGGGTAACTATTAGGTAGTACACTTGGGCAACAGGTGTTCCCTAAGGGTGCATGTTGAATACTCACAGCCCCCGTGTTGCTGCCACCTGCTGATACCACAAGCAGTTACGGGGCTGGCACCCACCAATCAGAAGCCACATGGCTTAAGGGACAATCTCCCTGGCACGCAGGGACCTTCCTGCCGTCCTTTGGTTTTCTTGGTCTTGCCCATCACAGTGGCTTTGTGGCTGAGCAGCCCTGCCGCCTCCTGCTATAGCATTCTGCTGTGACCTAGGATACTTATAAACACCCCAGAGCCTTCGATGCCTACCTGACACCTCATTTCTGGGTGTTTCTCTCACTCTACGGCTGGCCCTTGGCCGGAGCTGGGTTCTGCGCACCCCACACACTGACTCCCGGCTGCCCAGGCTCTGCCGCCAACCTCGGTATTACAGGAGGTACAGGAGGGTTACAGATGTCACTGAATAGGACTGTCTTCGCAGCCGAGCTCCCCGTGCTTAGGGCACTGGAATTAGGCTCTCCTGTCTCTCTCGCTAAGCGGGCAGCATACCCTACAGGCAGGGATTCTGTCTTGTGGACTGCTCTACTTTCTTGCCCAGTTCTTAGTCCACAGCAGGTGCTCGACAAATATTAGTAAATAAGAGACAGAACCCAGATATCCTAACTACTGGCTAAGGTTTTAACAAAATATCATTAAGATGAGTAACCTCGGAGTTAAATGTTTTCTGGAAATTAGGATTAGGCCCTATTGTGTGGATTTCTAAGTCAATCTGATGATTACAGAATAGCTCATGGCTTTAACTAGTGGCCCCTAATATCTGTCTGACACCTAGATTATCCGCCCCAGACCTGCAAGTCCCTCAACCCCACCTTGGGATTTCTTGCCTCATGAGTTGACAGCAAGATGGGCCATGTTACATCAGGGTTGGAGCAGAGCAAATGAGATATTCGACAAGAATTTTAAAAGATTTTTAAGTAAAACAACTGACGGAAAATTTAAATTGTTAAAATGGGATGAAATCAGAGTCTATATATTGCTTAGGACTTTTTTTTCTTTTTTTAAAGTAGGCTCCATGCCCAGTGTGGAGCCTAACTCGGGGCTTGAACTCACATCCCTGAGATGGAGACCTGAGCTGAGATGAAGAGTCAGACACTTAACCTGCTGAGCCACCCAGGTGCCCCAGGGCATCTTTAACATAAGGTTACCTGCAGCCATTTCCTGGTTGATAAGCTGGACTTGCAAACCGAAGATCTGTTCCTGTATTTTGTTTTGTGACAGTTTCAGCTTCTCTCGCCTGCTTATCATGTAGCACAGATTTCGCACCTGAAAGCCCAATCCCCAGCAAATAGAGATTTTTGTCATGTTACGTGAACCCGACAATTGAAATCGTTTAGCCAAAATTAAGGCAACTAAAACCAAGTGGGGGCACGGGGGCGGTGAGGAGAGAAGACAACACAAAACGCTGCATAAGGAGAGCCACTCTATGGGAAGTCACGTAGCATGGTCCGGCACGGGACCGTGGTTCCCACATTGATCGGCAGCACAAGAAAACGCTCCCAAGCCACCTCCTGAAACCTACTCTCCCTGCAGCGTGATGGGCTCGATGTTTATATATACGCACAGCCAAGTTGGGAAGACCGAATGATGATGTAGTGTTCTGGCCTTCCCTTTAAATTCCTGAATAAAACACTGGCGATGCTGGATCCAGTACAATTTTCTAATGAGCGCTGGACCAGCAGGATAAAGGTCTGCCGGACAGACTGACAGTGGTTTTTTGCTCACACCTCCTGCTCAGCCAAATCTCTACAGCCCCAAGGGTGCGATCCACGTGCTCCCATACTTCCCACCCCACTGGACCAATCATCCCACCTTTCTGTGCCCCAGTTTAGTCATCGGTAAATAGGCCTAACAACAGTACTTTCCTCACAGGCATGTTAGGATTAAATGAGTTAATATTTATGAAATGCTTCGAACAGTGTTGCCACATAGTAAGTGCTATCGATGTGTGAGTTAAATTTTACAAAGTGAGCCAAATCTGTTCCCTTCCAGATTCTGGTAGCAGAGAGAAAAAACAAGCCATCTCTATAATTACACTTGATTATAAAATTCTGTAGGGTAAACACAGGGCCTAACTTATCTTTGAATAAGTGAGTTAAACTAAATTATCTGGTGTAGAGACTTTCAATCAGAGGCGATTCTGACCCCCAGGGAGCATTTGGTAATCTGGAACCATTTTCTGCTGTCATCATTTGGGTATGTGTTGGGAGGGGGATTGGCTACTGGGTAGAGGCCAGGGACGCTGTTCAACATCTTCCAGTGTTCCCCACGACAAAGGACAGTCCCCCCTACAATAAGGAACTAGCCAGCCCAAGATGTCACTAGTGCCGAGTTTGAGAAACTGCTTTTTCCTCAATAAAATGAATTCTTAACTCAGCCCACAGTCTCACGTGTCAGTAAAATAGAGCTGAGCCAATTTAGGCTCAACAGTGAATAAAAAGTAAACCAAATGAGAATTTATCTCAGATTTAAGCTTCATAGGCATGTAAGCGAGGGCTCTCCAATTCCCTTGAAAGTGACTGCCAAAAATTTAAACAGAGCCCAATGCTCGGGGCCACAATGTAATCAGAAGATAAGCAAGGACACAGAAGCCTACACTTTAAATGAGCTGACCTTTAAAAACAGAAATGAAACTGGAAGCGGGGCCTCCATTTCTATGCAGACTGAGACCTAAACAGTAGCCACAGCTGATCACCTTACCCTCTCTAGGTCTTGGCGTAGATGCATAAACATTCTCATGCGAGTGTGAATACTCTCCTCTTTTGGCTGCACCAGGCCATTTTCTTCATCCTGCTTCGGAGGAAATAATGGCTTATTGAAGTTACTTTTCCGCTTCAGTTTCCAGTAGTTATAGATAAAGTCCACAGCTAGCGTGGGCATCCCCAGTTCTGTGGCCACATCTTCCACGCGGACCAGGGAATAGAACTCCTCCTCCAGCTCCCGAAGCTTCTGCGCCCGCAGGCTGATTTTTTCACTTTTGGCCTGGCTCTGCTCAGTAGCCCTGTGCATGGGGTACTCGGCCTCCCGGAGCTTCTGCCTGTTTTGGCTGTGCTTGAGGCAGTATGACTTGAACTTCACTTCATCCCCCTCATCTAGGATGGTCTTCATCTCTAGGCTGTGCTCAAAGGCACAGGTGACGTGGAAGGCAGTGATGCAGCTTTTCACAGAGCACTGTAGGAAGAAAAGATGCGTTAAGGGGGAAGGGCTGGGGGGGGTGGAAGGGGAACCGCATATCCCAGGGCTTAATGTGAGAGCTGCTCACGGGAAGCAGAGGCGAGGCAGGGAGAAAACTGGCCCTAAACGGACTATGACAGATGCTTTACAAGTAACTCAGGAAATCTGCTTGTATAGAAAACAGAAAGAAGAGGCAAAAAAAAAAAAAAAAAATTCAAACTCCCCTTTAGCTCGGGCCTGAAGTTTTTCTCAGAAGTCTTCCTTGGCTCCTGTGAAGAGTCATGCTGTACCTTCTCTGTGGCCCTCACGTCGCCTTATTATATGCTTCTACAGTAGTACTTTTTACAGTGTACCTACAGTATAGTGAGCGTCAGAACCCTGGCCAGAGCTCCTAAAGACAGAAGCCGTGTCATTCATCTTTGCATTGCCATCAACTATTGAACAATCAGGCGCTCAAGAAATGCTTGTAAACAAAAGAAAAAACGAAGTCAATATTGTTGCCAGAGTATCTACTGGTTCTAAAAAGGTCCCAGGAACTCCAGTATCTAAGCAACCCAACTTCTTGAAATTGTTCTTATAGAGCTGTGCTGTCTAACATGGTAGCCAACTACCCGTAAGTAGCTATTTAAAATTTAATTACATATACAGTATGCACATGTAATTGGGGCGCCTGGGTGGCTCAGTCGGTTAAGTATCCGACTCTTGATTTCAGCTCAGGTGATGATCCGTTTGTGAGTTTGAGCCCCACGTTGGGCTCTATGCCGATAGTGCAGAACCTGCTTGGGATCCTCTCTCTCCCTCTTTCTCTGCCCCTCCCTCACTCTCGTAAGTGCGTGTGTGTGCACTTCCTCTCTCGCTCTCTCAAAGTAAGCTTAAAAAAAATAAAACGATATACAATTAAAAATTCAACTCCTTAGCCACCCTAGCCACATTTCAATCATACTGGACAGCACAGATTTCCATCACTGCAGAACGTTCTATGGAACATTAGGGCTACAGACAATCTGAAATTCAGTTTGTAATGTTTTGCCATTTATAGATGCAACACATTTGTTAAGTATCACTGCATAGCATGTACTGAGGATTCATTTACAGGGCAACAGAGTAGGAAGAGCCGGCCCATGACTGCTGTACTCCTGTGTTTTAGTTAGTCTCAATTACCATTTGTTATGGTTACAATGCTATAGCTTTCCTTCCAAAGATTTTAAATACATGGGAGAGAAAGAAATGGAGGATTTGTTTCTAAAAATAGTGGAGAATTCCCATGGGGAAAGCCAAGTCTCAACTCTTTTGGAAGCCTGAGTCTGGAGGGCAGACTGCCGAATTAATTATATGTTGGGGGTTTGTGATAACTACAAATAGGGAATGACCTCAGATACAAATAAAGACTAAAAAATGCAAAACCTGACAGGTCTCCTTCTAATAGACGGAGAAATTCAACACCTAAGAGAATGCTGGCAACCATCAAAGCTTTAAAGGAGGCAGATTGCATTTAAGCCAATTTTACAGGATAAAGAATTCCAGAGATGAAATATAATTCTAAGATCATCTTATCCAGCACCGCATTTATCACTGCTTGTACGTGCCTCTAGAGTCCCTGGTTTTCTACCTCCACTGCCCTGCCCCCCCAGCTCCTTCTACTTTTCAAGGAAGTGGTAATCTAGCCACTCAAACTACATTCCTAAGACAGCCCACCCCAGCTTTGGACAGTTCTATTGGAAAAGATTGTTACCTTACACTGAAATCTGTATCCTTAAAATGTCCACGTATGTGAAAGGCCTTATGATAATGAGGATGATGAAAGCCAAAAATGTACTTTTATCTGGGCACCTTGTGTTATCACTCGGCTAAGAAACTAGCCAGTCATTTAAAAAACAAGAAGCAAAAGGAATTCTTTAGCAGAAGATTAAAAGTGTTGGGTATAGTGCTCTTTCGCTGTTTAGTAACTGAGAAAAATGTGGAAAGAGAAAGCAAAAGGACCGTGTCCTATTCAAGGGGATGAATGTGTAACATAAAACTACTACTGATCAGAAGCTGAAAACAGACCATGTGTCTCAGGTCACATTTATAGACTGTGGAGACGTAAATATAAATTAGTCAAAATAAAAGACAATACACAAATAAGAACTGGGTGCTTAGATGAAAAATGGAATACGTCCTTACGGAACTGTGCCATAAAATCCATCTGGTCGCAAAAAAGGTCATTCTATGATGCTTATAGCTGAAGGTCGCTGTGTTTTGGTGGTAAAGGAGAAATGCCAACCAAGTTTTGGTGCCAAATACCTATTTATCTTTTTCCAAACACATACACTTGGAATATTCTAGTAAACAAAATGCCTTTATATATATACACGTCTATTTCTACTGTAACCACTTAAAGGTGACAGAGAAGGTATATATTATGCCCATTAAAATAACGCTTTATTGAGATACCAGAAAACTTTTTTTGTGCCAAAAAAACTCACGACTTTTAAGTATACGTTTCAATGGTTTTAGCATGTTTACAGAGTTTTGCAACCATCACCACTACGTAATTCCAGTACATTTTCTTTTCTGGTGTTGTTTCAAGTTTTTATTCTAGTACATTTTCATTACCTCAAAAAAGAAATCTCATGCTTACCTGCAGTCACTTCCTGTTCCCAACCCCCGCCCCAAGCAACCACTCATCTATAGGCCTATTCTGGACACTTCACAAGGAGGGATCATACATGTGGCATCTGTGTCCGGTTTAGCATGTTCTCAAGGCTCATCCATGTCACAGCATGTATCAGAATTTCATTCTTTTAAGAATATGGGAGGGTGCCTGGGTGGCTTAGTTGGTTAAGCATTCGACTCTTGATTCTGGCTCAGGTTATGATCTCATGGTTCATGGGATCGAGCCCTGTGTTAGGCTCTGTGCTGAGGAGTGAGGAGCCTGCTTGGGATTCTCTTCCCCACCTCTCTCTCTGCCCCTCCCTCGCTGTGTGTGTGCTCCCTCAAAATAAATCAACTTAAAAAAAATTAAAATGTGGCTAAACGACATTCCATTGTATGACTATACCACATTTGTTTATCCATTCGTCACTTGATGGGGATTTGGGTCGTTTTCAGTTTTTGGCTATTAGGAAATAATGCTGCTATGAGCATTTGTGTACAAGTTTTTATGTAGGCATATGTTTTCGTTTCTCTTTGGGAAGGTGCATTAAAGGATTAACCTTGCCTAAAGAAAGGTTTGGCCCTTTGCCCCCAGCTACTAAGAGGTGACCTCTAAGCCTATGGAATGTCCTGACTTAGAAGAGTGTCTTTGTTTATCAGGGGTCCCTGGACCATGTCAGCTAGCCTATGCTAACAATGTGATTTATGGTGGAGGCTTTGAGCCACATGGTATCAGCCTGACCTCTGGAGGGACTGGAGGCTAAGGTCAGCCATGCGGGTGGGTCACTTGTGTCTAAGTGGCCAACTCCTAATACAATCACTGAGCGCTAAGACTTGGGTGAGCTTCCCTGGTTGGCAATACTCTGTGTATCATCACACGTCCCTGGGGGGGAGAAATAAGCACTGTCCACAAGACTCCACTTGGGGGGGACAACTGGAAGCTCCATGCCTACTCTCTCCTGGACCCCTGTCCTATGTGCTTCTTCCCCTTGTTTTTAATCTGCATCCTTCCTTTCACTGTAATAAACTGTAACCACTAGAATGGCTTTTCTGAGTTCTTTGAGTCCTTCTAGTGAATCATTGAACCTGAGGGGGGGTCTTGGACACCTCTTCAACTGCAAGTATATGCTTTGAAGTGGAATTGCCAGCTCATATGATAATTCTACATCTGACTTAAAACAATTTTTTTTAATGTTTATTTTTGAGAGGAGAGAGAGACAGAGCACAAGTGGGGGAGGGTCAGAGAGAGAGAGAATGAGACACAGAATCCAAATCCAGGCTCCAAGCTGTCAGCACAGAGCCCGATGCGGGGCTCAAGCCCAAGGACCGCAAGATCATGACCTGAGCTGAAGTCAGATACGTAACTGACTGAGCCACCCAGGCGCTCTTACATCTAACTTTCTGAGAAATTGCCAAACTGTTTTCCATAGTGGCTGCACATTTTATATCCCCACCAGTAAAGCACGAGGGTTCCAATTTCTCCACATTGTTATTGCCTGACTTAAAATTTTTTTTTGTTTTTATTTTATTAAAAAAAATTTTTTTTTAATTTTAGAGAGAGAGAATAGGGGAGAGGGGGCAGAGGGAGAGAGAGAATCTTTTTCTTATTTTAAAAAAAATTTTAAAGTTTATTTTTATTTATTTTGAGAGAGAGAGAGAGAGAGAGTGAGAGTGAGAGAGTGAGAGAGAGAGAGAGAGAGCGCGAGTGGGAGAAAGGCAGAGAGACGGAGAGACAGAATCCCAAGCAGGCTCCATGCTGTCAGGACAGAGCCCAACATGGGGCTCGAACTCATGAACTCTGAGCTCATGATCTGAGCCAAAGTCAAGACTCAGATTCCCAATGGACTGAGACACCCAGGTGCCCCTAATTTTGTTTTTGAGAGAATCTTTGTTTTGGGGGGAGAGCGAGCACAAGTGAGGGGCAGAGAGAGAGAGAGAGAAGCGGGGCTCGCCCGAAGTGTGGTTCATGCTTACCTGAAGTGGGGCACGAGCTCACCCAATGTGTGACACTTGAACTCATGAACTGTGAGAACATGACCTGAGCCAAAATCAGATGCTTAATGACTGAGTCACCCAGACGCCGGGGAGGGAGGGAGGGAGAGGGAGGGAGAGGGAGAGGGAGAGGGAGAGGAGAGAGAGAGAGAGAGAGAGAGAGAGAGAGAGAGAGATCTTAAGCAGGCTCCACGCTCAGCACGGAGCCCGACGCAGGGCTTGATTCTACCACCCTGGGATCCCACCACCTTTTTGATTATTATCACCCTAGTGAGTATGAAGTAGTATTTCACTGTAGTTTATGTATCTTTAAAGGAGGAAAAGGAATAGTTTTCTGTATATTTTTCAGAAACTGTAGAAAAGAAATGAGT